AAAAGTTTTCTGGAGCTTACCACATGTTTCTGTACCCAGTTTTCAAAGTAAGCTTAGCTATGCAAGCTAGAGCTTTGCTTGGAGTCAGAGAGTCCTACGTCACCAGCTACTAACGTGTTACAGAACAGTTCTATGTCCTCAGACTACTCTTATCCTGCATTGCAGCAGAATAGCTGGATGATTACTAAGTGGAAAAAATTTGGTCTTGATCCTCACCCAAGCCCAGGTTAGTGCAGAGAATAATAGATCAGCTCATGATACAGGAGCTCATCGGGTGCCAGCATCTTGACAGAATGGGCTCTTAGTCTTTGCCCTTCAGTGGCCTGTCTTAAGAGCCAGGGTAATATCTGCCTCTTATTAAAGGTAAGTGCTCAGACCGTGTGGTTGTGGGAGCTTTTAAGGGTATAAGTCAGATCATCAGCTGTGCAAGGTGCGTGCCAGGCTGCATAAGGAAATGCTTTCTCCAGCCGCTCTCTGTAGAGGTACAAAGCTGTTCATAGTGGTGTAGCAGCTGCGTTCCCAGTTCTGAGAGAAACCTGCTTGCATCAGCCTGATTTGAATACCCAGCATAAGCTTTTAATAGCACTGCAACACCTACTCAGTCCTCTTTCAAAGGTTTCTGGATATGTCTCATGCACAGATCATGCCTGTAAGGTTAGTGGTCAAATTGTAGTATAAGTGCCTAAAAAAAAAAAAAAAGTATGTTGTCTTTTTATTCTCTACTAAATGCTACAAAACCAGTCATGTAGAAAACTGTTAGCCTGCAGCACAGCAGATAGAAGTGAAAGGCTGAATAGCATATGTTAGTATTTGGAAAATAATATGGCTCTGAAGACCAGGAGGAGTTGTGCCCTTTTCTGAAGGTGGTGTTACTGTCTTAACGTTTGGCTTTGCCTGAAGAAAAGATGATGCTGGACAGAGGAGCAAGGACCTGGTAGTGAACTAGATGTGGTGTCATGATGGTTTGCAGAGAGGTACTTACTCCAGAATTTGCGGTGGCAATTCAATGGGTTCCTTCTAGTCCAGTCAGCTACTTCAGATTCTTTGTCACGTTGACCACAAAATCATTAAAGAAATGGATGGATGAGGTGCTGAAAGATATGGTTTAGAGGTGGACAGATACGGTTGGACTAGATGATCTCTAAGGTCTTTTCCAACCTAGTGATTCTATGATTCTAAATGAAAGTCTACTTTTGGAGTTCTCTTCAGCCATTTTCATGGTGGGCAGTTTGCTGCTGTTTTCCCTGAATAAGCAGTGAGCTGTGTACATCTTCCCGCTTTTGCAGTTCCCGGACTACTGAATCAAGATCTGGATGACCATTTGCACCAAACACCCTTGTGAGCAGGGCTATCCCCTCTTTGTTCTTTTTTATTGTGTCTTGTGTTATTGTCTAGAGAAAAGTGCTTGGTAGCCTTGTGCTGATGAGAGTCAGATGAGTGCTGCTTAATTCTGAACAGCTGCTCAAGCATCAGGTAGGATTGGCCCTTGTGCCAACAGACAGTGCTTTAAGATAAAGTGTTTCTAATAAACTTGGGTGAGCCCACGGGAAAGGTTCTGTCCAGGTTCCTGGTACTATTTGCAGCATGTCTTATTCTCTGTTAGCTGGAGTCACATAGCAACGGGTTTCAGATGTACCAAAACAAACTGTTTAAATCGGTATATGTAAAGAGGCTTTGTGTTGGCTTCAGGGCACGTTTGAGACTTTAATTGCACGGGTCATTCTTCACGATCAGTCGAGAGACCGTCAGACCAACTAGGAAAGTCTGATTCCAACGTGAATCCGACCAGGAGATGGCGCTGTTGATGCACGCAAGGAGCATCCAAGAGCTGAACCACTTCTCCCGCCACTGACAGAGGGAAAACAACTACCTTCATTTAATTGGGAAATATTCCGTCTTTGTAAGACCTAGATAAATGTTAACAAAACAGTTCTAATGTTTAGCTTTTGTCCCTAACTGGCTAATTCAAGTCAGTAAATTAAAAATACACTTAGCTTTGTGTCTAAATACTGGAGTCACCCTTTGACTTGGTGATGATTTAAGACAGGGATGTTGAAATCCAGTACTCTTGCCCACAGTTGGTTACAGAATTAAAAGGCTCGAAAGATAATAGATGCTACTATTGTCATTTCTGCATAGCTGCTCTGTAAACTCATAGCTTTGCTTGTAGCTGTAGATTTGGGTTTTGTTAAAGTTTAAGTCTAAAAATCCTTTAGCCTTTTGTTTCAGTGTTATTGTTTTCCTGCCCTCATGGATACACGTGCATTGACATGGAGAGAGTCTGAAAACTGGGGAATTGTATTGCCTGACCTGATAGATAAGGAAGGAGCTTATAAGGCAGCATCCCTTTATTTTTCTTTTCCTCCCCCTGAACTTAATTCTGTTTTCCTGCTCCCATCAAAAGTTGGGAACAACTCATCTTTCCAGCACTTTGTTGGAAAAAGAAGCCTGGCCCTCTTGACAGGGTGCTGTTGTCTGATGCCTTGATGTCGGCTGAGGTAGCTGGGAGCCTACTGCCGTACCCTCTCCACGGCTGGTGATGCAGATGTTTGATGGAGAGCTGATTTATCACAAGGTCATCCCCAAAATCTGTAGCATGCACCAGGAATGGCCTGTTTGGCAGGCTGTATTGTGCTCTTCTGTGGCAAGCAACAGGCTATGTCTTTCTGAACAGCCAAGAGATTAAAAAGCAATTTCTTCCTGGGATCTTCGTGATTAGGGAGGTGAATTGGAGCCCACTGTGCGAGGTCATGTTATTGTCTGTCTTCCATGTCTGTCTGTAGCAGGCAGTGCAGGTAAAAGCATATACGTGGATAGTTACTGCTGAGCAGCCACAGAATTACATCTTTCGCCCTTACTTGTGCAATTTGCTTACAGCGCTCTGATATCTGGAAATTTAAGTATGAATTCTCTCGGTGCAGCGTTATCATGCTGCTGCTGCTTAAACGTATTTAGCCAAGAAGAACCGTTGAGGTGTGTGTGGTGTTCTTTAACTTTGGCAGCGCTACCTGGAATGCGCTGCAGGGATTGAGATCCACATGTAATAATTTGAGGTTTTTCTGTGCCTGTCTGTCCCAGGTTGTTACTTTTGTTTTAACCTTGTGCACCGAGGTGATATGTGTGAACTTAATCTTGCATACTTCCCTTTCAAGACCCATGTTTGACATCAAAGGACTGCTCGGATTGTTAGGGAGGTGCACAGGTAGGAACAAATAAGGTGACATGTAAGTTCAGGTGCACAGTGGAAATGTCACCCTTCGATCTGATGTCAGCAGTGGCAGCTGGTGGCTTTTTTCATGCCAGAAGTGCCCTATGGAGCCATCTGACAGCGCAGCCCGGGTGCCACCAGCCTTTATTTCCTTTCATAACAGCACAGTGTAATCACTGTTTTTGTTCTTGTGCAGCCACGGATTCCCTCTTAAGCGCAAATTCAAATGGGAGAAACATCAAAGTTAATAGGAAATGAAATGCACCCCAAGTAGTCTGGGGGAAATGGAGATGTTACTTTGTAGCCACCCTTCTCCTGCCAAAACGGCGGCACCCCAGATGTCAGGAAGCCACGCTGCACTCTTTGTCTGCTCTTGATTGACTGGATTGTTTTCATCTGAGCCTTTTTAAAGCTCTCCTCCTGCCTCCATATTTTTAAGGAATAAAAAGCTAATATAAGGACATGGAGTGTTATGAAGCATGAAGTTCTATAAATATTTATGCTGAACTATCAAAAAACTTGACAGTTCTTATTTTCTTGACAGATTGGGGTCACTTGTTATTTTTGACCCTGAGAATTGAAGAGCACATAGAGTTAGATCTGCTTGTAATGACTTTTGGATATTGTTGTCTGGCAAACTTGTAGGAATGTAACAGAATATTAGACTTTTTTCTTGGTCTCTTTGTGAAAATGGAACTTAAACCTTGTAGCATGTTACCCACAAATGACCGTTCAAGTTACCGTCCCTGTGCAGTCAGTCTGTGGATTCTGGGACTTTCCTTGGCATGTGTGGGTTTCTGGTTAGCAGCTTGGTTTGACACTTCAGATGGACAGCTTTCACCTAGGCTGCTCTTGACTGGAAGTGCTCAGTGATCACCTTTCTGTCTAGGAGCTGCAGTGTGTTCCTGAGGCTATCACAGGATGGGATCAATGAGGGCTAAAATTCTGACAAAGGTTCGTGGTGTCCAGTGTTTTGCCACCGGTCCCAGCACTGCTTTAAGTATCCCTGGGGCCAACTGAAGACAAACTCTTCCTAAAAGTTCAAGTGCTGATAAACAGGCATTTTCTAGAGGGATGAGAGGCTTGTAGCTCTGTGATGCTTCAGGATCCTCATTCCTAAAAATTATGTGCACACAGGCTTAACTCCTACCTGAAGCTGAAGTGGCAGGTGAACGTTTTAAAGCCAGGTCTGGCTTTTTAGGGCAGCAGCCACATTATTACATCCAGCTGAATCCTTTCTTGCCTGGTAAATTCAGTGTGTAGGAAAGAATCAATCTGATGCTTCACCTTGAACGAAATCCATCATGTGTTTTAAGGTAAACCTTGAACATACTGTGTCTGAAGCTAACCGGAGCGTGTCTTGCTGTCAGTCACTAGAGGGCACAAAGGAACTACCTAGGAAAGAAGTTTGTTCTCCAAGTCCTGAGCTTCAGTTTAGATCTGTGTAAGTGGTGGTGGTGGTAAATTCCTGTGGCTGCCAAAAGATAAGATGGCTTCAAAGTTTTGGTTTCATCAGTGATTTTCCTCACCCAAAGCTACTTCTGGTTTGGAAGTGAAAAATTTCAAGGGTACGCCCATTTTTCTGTTAGTACAATGTTGTGCTCGGAAAGTACATGGCTCTCGGCAACCACCTAACGCTGCTCGTAAACAGCTCTTAAGTTCAACCCATATAATGAATAAAATTGCCTTGTTTCTCAGGTTTCTGTACTTAGAATGAGCTCCAAACGTGTCTGCTGTATGAAGGGTAAGGCAGCAAAAGGAACTGCTCTCTGACCATACGGTTCTTTTGCAGGTTGCTTGCCTCATACGCGTCCCATCTGAGGTTGTCAAGCAAAGGGCCCAGGTTTCCCCTTCCTCGAGTACCCTCCGGATTCTCTCCCACACCTTGTATCATGAGGTGAGTTAAGAGCAGAATTTCAAAGCAGTTGCTTCGTTCTTCCCACTCAGTGCCATACATGTCCAGAAGCATTCCTCCCTCATATGCATGAACTTACAGTCTTTTTCTTCCTTTTTATATGGGGTACCTACATGTAAAAAGGAAAAAAAAAAAAGGGCGATTTGTCTTTCCAGTTTCCAAAGCTCTGCTTCTATTTATGCAAACAGCCCTTTTCTGGGACAACAGAACATTGAGTCTGTATCCAGAGTTTGCTGAATGGTTCCAGTTTTTGAAGCAGGCTTTGGAGTGGGTTTCTTAAAGGCACCAGTTCCAGAGCTCCTACAGAGCCTCTCTGAAATAAGTGCTCATCCAGTATTGGTAACTTTTGAAAAATAAGGGCTTTTGTCATCTTTTTAGTAGTTCTACTGTTCCTTCCTGTTAAAACCTGTTCACTGCTGTTTTTACTGAGTCTCTCAAGGGGCGTTTTTCAAGTTCTATTCCATAAGAGAAAGTGGTTCCTGAAAATACAGTGGGGAAAAATATTATACTCATTTCCATGTGTAAAAGCCAGGAGAAGACAGACATAAATATGACCTTTAAATGATCCATTTGGTTTTCATTTGCGTATAAATGAAAATTATTTTGATAACCCTGCACAAGAGGGTCGCTGGAACTTCTTTCTGCGACTTAGTCATTATGCTCTGAAAGCTGGTGCTCTCAAAACCCTATGTTTTTCCCCGTTGTAGCTGGCCAGAGAACTGTAAGACTTTCTGAACACTGGAATAAACTGTCCTGTAAGATAGTAAATGTAATTTTATATAAACTTATAATACTCAAAAAATTTGAAATTTTATCAGCTGGTTAAAAATACAAAGTGTTTGTCTTGATAAAAGCCTGAATTGAGGCTAAAAAGGTGTATGTAGGAAGCTGTTATCCTGTGGGTTCATTTTATGTGGGTGATTTCAACAGAAGAGTAGTAGTTTCAAAATATTTATGGGATAGCACATACTTCTAGACCAACATAGTGGGCAAGTAGAGTTTGAAGTACTGGGTTTCTCTGACTTCTTGCCCTTTTAATTTTAAGTGTAAGGTATATTTTCTTCTTTATAACTGATTATTCTGAACAGTAGTTAAATGATCTTTGCAATGAACATAAAACCCTCCGACACTGTAAATCATGGAATACAGTATGCAATGTTATAATCAATATAGGCAATTTGCGAGAAGTTCAGGCCTGACGCTCGGTCAGGCTGTAATGCTTGCCTCGTAATCACCCATAAATTGTGGTCTTTGGCAAACTAATTCCCCATAGCTGACGCTTTCTTTTGTTGGTTTACAGGGTATTCAAGGACTTTATCGGGGTTATAAAAGCACAGTATTAAGAGAGGTAAAACACTTGGTTTTCTCTCCCTTTTTTTTTTTTTTTTAAATCGATTCCTTTGCTTCCCTTTGCTTTCTAACAAGAGATGATAGTACAATTGAGATCAATTGCTCTATAACCATAAGCTCTAAATCCTACCATATTTCATTCTAGATAAGTTACCAGGCTGTAATGTAAATAGAATACCTATAATGTGCACTAGTAAAACCTGTGATACATGCAAAAAGTCATTTACCATCCTGTCTCTCAGTTCTGTTGCTGCTAAATCATAACAGGATGGAAATGTGTAAGTTAACATGACGAAAACCATAAAATGAAGTACTGGAAACTTCCTCAAGTCTTGTGATTGCATCATGTGAAGTATGTATGCCAACAATGGTGACCAGGTGGCATCAGGCCAAGTTTGGCACAGACAGATTTAGGCTTTCTTTAAATGTATTTGTCAGCAGATGCCAAGAGATTATCTGTCATCTGTATATAGGAAGGATTTTCTTTTTTAAATGTGTGAAAGAAATACATTTAGTCATCCAGTCTGTAGATGTGATATGGCATTACTTAACTCTAAATCAGAAGTACTTCGCTGTTGGAAAAAAACTGGAGCTAAAAATACTTTGGCCTGCTTGGCAGAAAATAGTTCCTAAACTAAAATCTCTTCATGAACGTACTGTGAGTTACAGGATTAGTGTAATGGCAGTGTTCGGTACGCCGTGCGAACCGGAGGCAGAGTATAAAAGAAGCAGAAAAACATACTGATGAGCTCCCAGTCTAAAGCTGTTTCAGACTCGGATCTCAGGAGGTCATCTTTGGATAAGGCAGAAGTTGCACGATGAGTACCTCAAATAGAGAGATGAGGCTCAATTCCTGTGAAAACATAACAGCCGTTGCCCAGGTTCTTTACCTACTGTGTTCAAGGCGATACGTGTGGGTTTGTCCTCTCCTGATGTACTTCAGCTGAGTAAGCTGGCTTTGGATCTCTGCTGCTTTTGTGGTTTTAAACAGAGGATCAGATCTGTAGGCTGTGTTGCCATTGATGCTGAAGCCAGTTGCAGAGGCTTGTTAAGCTTTCATTCAAAAGCTCTGCTTTTAAAAGCCTTTCCTCATGCTGGAAACTGTTTTTAGGACAGTTATGTTAGCCCGTCCTTGTTACAATTACGGGATAAAGGTTGGTATTACCTAAAATATGAAGTACTAAATTTAGTGTTCCTTAGTGTGCTGAGAAATGATAACGCACTGTAGTCTATTTTAGCAGTTTTCAGTGATTAAAAAAATAGTTGTTTGTGCAGAGATGACACCTGCTTTTCTGAAACATAACCCCCACCATAGCTTCATCCTGTACTTGTTTTCTGGCTCACTAAACTCATGTTATTCACTCAGATTTCATTTGGAGACAGGCAAAAAAAGCCAGTGAATCATTTTGATTTCTCTGAGGGGTTCTGAATAAATGAATAAATTTAAATCCCATTGAATACAGATTTTGCATACTAACAGGTAGATAAAACACATGGTTACTACCGAGTATTATTCTCCTTTAAAATTTGTTTTGACATATGTCAGGGTGGTAATTAATTTGCAGACCATATTCATGGCATAGTGTGTGACCCTGCTGAGATAACTTTGTTGACTCAAAATGGCAGCACTTGTTGGAAATTTAATGGGGGTCCTCTCCACTATGTATATTCATAAAAGATCTTTCATAACTGATTTCAGTTGAAGTATTGCTTTTGGGGAGAATCTGTCCAATGGAATGAGAAGTAAATGATTACCAAATGAAATGTGCTTTCTCTTCAAAATGAAGCAAATCATAGTTGATGTTTTAAAAAAAAAAAAATAATCCTGGAGTTTAACACTGTTAAGACCATTGCATTTTTCTGACACTAAATGCTGTAAAGCAATGTCCACTTGAGTAAGAACAGCATATTGACCCTTCAGCTGGAACTGTTGTAAGCCTGACCTTTAATCTTGGTATTTTCCCTTCTCTTTAAGTACACTTTTTCCTTTAGGCAAAGTCTTTATTTTCAGATAATCTATATGAATTCATTATTGCACACAGGTAGCTGCATAACATGTATAGACTGATACTTAATTCCAGCTGACTTTGTAGAGTTTGTTTACATGCTTTGGTTCTTTATATACAGAAAACCCTCTGTTTAGTTACAGTGGAGTGGGATTTTTGGATAGAGGGGTTTTAACGCATGATTTTTCATTTAAAAAAAAAATTGGAAGAGGCTGGGAATATTGATGCTTTTCAGATGATGATGTTCTTTCATTGGGAATGTTCTCGAGCCAGAATTTAATGCTAATTTTTAGTTGTTGCATTGGGAATAAAATCTTGTGTATTGCACAAAGCACATTTCAATGCCTGGACAGAGATTTGCTTGCCAATAGCTTGGATTTTGGTGAAAATGAGTCTGATTATAAAGGGAGTGCAGTGTTAAAACCTCATGTTTAGCCTAGTAGAGCTTTTCAAGTCAACCTTACTCTGTTCCATGTAATTTGCTTTTGCTGCTCTGCTGCTTCTGTTCAGGTGCAGGATGATTGTTGCATCCTTCATCTTTGGTTCTCACTCTTTCACTCATCCCCTTTATTATAGAATGGTTTGGGTTGGAAGGGACCTTTAAGGACCATCTAGTCTCCCCCCCTGCCATTGGCAGGGACACCTTCCATAGACCAGGTTGCTCCAAGTCTCATCCAGCCTGGCCTTGAACACTTCCAGGGATGGGGCATCCACAGCTTCTCTGGGCAACCTGTCCCAGTGCCTCAACACCCTCTGCGGGAAGAATTCCTTCCTGATATCTATCTAAATCTCCCCCCTTTCAATTTAAACCCGTTACCCCTTGTCCTATCACCACAGGCCCTTATCTTCTCATCAGAATACTTTCTGTGTAGATAAATATTAGAAGAGAAAGAAGATGGCTAAATATTTAATGCTTTTGGAAATCACTGTGAGTGAACCTCAATGCTCGGAAGTTTTGGCTGTGGCTCTGGCACCTACCTGCCTCTTCTCTCGCATCTCCGTTACATTTTGGCTTTACATCTTCCTTGGATATAGGTACACTGAACTAGTCCTAAAATTGTAAGGGAAGTGAGGTACAGTGCATCATTCTGTTGGCAGTAGTAGCGTTAAAGAGACATCCGTGCTCTGCGAGGAAAGCTTTTGTGATAAAGCACAAAGTGGGAGTATGGTTATTGGGTTGCTGAATGAGACTTTGAATAAATGGCAGAAATTGGGGGCTGTGAAATGATGTGGAATTCCCATGATGTCACTTCCAAAGAAAATCCAAGGGAGAATTGTCTTTTCCGATGCTTGTAGCGTACCAGTGTGCATCTGTGTGGAAACTGGATCATGCTACCAAGAACAGTCAGTGAACAGGTAAATTTATTCATGTTTTCCATGGCAGAGACAAGTTCATTTGTAAAAAATCCAGCCATCTTATAACAAGGCAGGAGCAGACTATAAATCTACTGTAAATCCTCTAGAATTTCTTAATGGGAATGTAGTTCTGCTGCTGAGAACTTCTATAAGCAAATGGAGCCAGATTTTTAATTCCTGCATAATTCATTTTATTAAGTATGACCAAGTAGAACATCTGTTAAAATTCCATAATGTTCAGTTCATGGGAAAAAGAGCGAAACCCCTGAGTTCCCGTTGGAGCTTTTCCATTTCCATTAATGTTACAGGACTCTAGCAGATGTCCTCTCATTCATAACAACAGCCTTCAAGACAACACAAAAGCAAAGGAAGTGCCATGTCCAGTTTCCCTGTGTACAACAGCTCGTTGTACAGTGAGTTACTTCACCCTCTCTGTGCAGGTGGGAGCTTCCCACAAGCAGTGCCACAGTAAACTCCAGTGGCCCTTCTGTCCTGAGTTACCGTAGTTTGCAAGAACTGAGTCCCGAGTGGGTGTTCTGTGTGGTTTTAATCTAATTTGTCACTTGTAAAAACATTGCAGATGGACTGGTCCCTAGCCCAGAAGTAGATTCAAAAGGAGCTAAAATTAATATTAAGCTCTTCCTTAAAGGGGATGGAGAACAACTGGCTGTTTATAGTTCACAGATGTCTTGGAAGGAGACTGAGTATCGCTTTGCAGTGTCAGTCTTCGCTGTGCAGGTAGCCCTGGGTAAGCTTGTCCTGTGTTGCCTTGTAGACTCTGGGACAATTCAGGCTTTCACTGGTGGCCTCCATTCAGGTGGAGGTGATAATGGGACTTTGCTTGGCAATGTTGCTGCAGAACTCATCTCGGAGCTCTGAATTTGAAGGAAAACAACTGATAAATCTGAACCTTCTTGTATAGCATGCTCTTGGTCTTACTTTAGGTGAGATAGCTTAGTTGTTGCTTTTGGGAGTCCTAGTTTTTTTAAGTTGGTACAGAGTTGGGTTGGATTGAGGGTTTTTTGGTTTTCCTTCACTATGTGCGAGTCGGAGCCCTGTGTGGATAAAGGAAGCTACTGCTGCCTTGGGAGGGAGAGAGCACTCCATGCTGTGTTCATTTTGGGGAGGAGAAGGACAGCTAGCTCGGAGTATGCCGTTGCATTAACGAGTGGCAGCAGTGTGACAAACAGCCAACAAATTTGGGCTCTTCTCAGTCTCAGAAAGCCCAGGAAGCAGTGATGCCTCCTGAGGAGCAGGCAGTTTGGTGCATGTATGCCGCAGAAGTAGTGTCCTGTTACAACGTGTGTATCCAAAGAGATAGGGAGGATATGCAGTGCAGGGGAAGGAACTAGCAGAAAGAAGACCAACAAAACCCCCTTCTTAAATGACTCGCTGTCATGGAGGGGGAATTAAAGCAACTAGCAGCAAAAGGGGCCTTCAAGGCACACCTGCTGCCTTTTCCTAAGGGAAAGCATCTGTGAACAAAGGATGCTGAGAAGGTTTTGTACAGATAGGTGAAACGCAGCTGAGCTATGTCGACCCTGTTGACTAAGGGAGGGTGGGGGATTTCTGAGGGCTGAGCCTAAGAGGGAACAGTCTGCAAACAGGGAGCCTGGTTTGTTTATCCACAGAGGTA